AAAGTGGAACATTCGAGTTCGTAATACATTGCCACTCATTTGTGAACGTAGCGTACATCTCGCAAGTTTGTAATCTCCCTCTCCTCTCTGTTCCTTCAACTACGAATATTTTTTCTCGGGAAGCCACTCCGAAAGCTTAGCCCCTCTCCTCTCGCATGTCTGCGATTTCCTCCCACTTGTTTTCTACGGTGTTGAATCTCTCAGCTTTTGCGACGTATTCCGTTGCGACTAGATCCCTCCCACCAAACACACTACGGATGGCTGCCGGCCGCAACAACGCAAGAATTACTTATGCACTGTTGTAAGGATGAGTGAATTTTCTGCTGTGTATACTTCTCTACGTTGTACCTGTTCGTAGCAGTTTTGTAGAGGTCAACTTCAACACGGCATGAATTTCTCCCAAACAACTGCCACCTTTACAAGACCTGCTTTCAAGTTTAACTCGGACCAAACGTTTAAAACAGGATCCACCTCTCTGCATTTTGGTAAATGGTAAATGTGAATAACTGCCGGACACCATCTGAGTTAAATGGGCAGCCTTGTCTTTCAGACCATCTGGTAAGCGCATCCGCAGATCCTCTTCAGGGAGATAACAAAAAGCGTACTTGTCACCACGGGCAACAATAACACGTGTATAATGGCCCTTTCTGGGTGACTTCGGGACATCGTCACCGGCAAATGTAGCCATCGTTATCGTGGCATCTAATGTCAGCCTCAAACAAACAGCAGTGTCACGAACAAGTTCTTTTGTCACCACATCCTCCAGACAGTCACGCGACAGAAAACCCAATCGACCGTAACCAAACAATTCTTCAAATGTTGCTATTCGCTCGTTCCTTTTTTGGTTAACCCAATCTAGTATGATTTTATAAACATCAGCTTCCTTTTTTACTTTTACTGATCTCATCGGATAATGTCCACCTCTCGATCTCTTTAGCTTCCAAGTGCAAAAATTCATCCATTTTTGCCACGGACACGATGGTCACGTAAATAAAACGCCTGCTGGTGTTGATAAGCTCGTCACAATCGTATTTCTCAGCGAGGTAAAAGGTTGTAATACAGTTCATGTGTGGCATTTCCCGTTCCAAAAACCGCCATGAAACACTAGTTTTCAAGCTTGGTATGATCAGACAATTTCCTGCAGCGATCAGTTCCTTAGCATTCTCCTCTTGGCTGCCCATTTAACGAAGCCTGAAATCTCCCCAAATCGAATAACCACTTCGCGAATCTCCTTCATGTCGCTTTGAACAAGCTTGAAAAAGAACGAACTTGCAGCGGAAAGAACATTCTCTCTGTTATCTTTGGAAAGTAATGTCGCATAAACAATCTTGTCTTCGCTGTATATTGAGGTACTTCATCGATTCCACACAGAACAACACTTCTTTAGCAGCTGAGATAGGCTCTATATCTTCCCTAATTTACAGAATATCCTTATTTCCCCCAACAGATTCGCTCATAATGTTGCTGATATTGAGGAACACAGGGCAAAGATATCGAAAGCGGAAGTATAGCTGGTTCCCAATTTTTCATCTCAGTTCCCGAGCCCAGGCCGGGAGAACTCTGGAGACGAGAAGATTTAAGCGAGCAACCGAGCCGGATGAGTTTAAAAAGAATATTTTGTTAACCAAACATTTTACTGGCTCTGAATAGAACAAGAGTTACTGATCAAGATACAGTTGGGCCACTGAAAGATTACCGCAGTTGATTCTGACGTGACTCGGGTACGAGCATAGCTACAAACAGAGATTCGATCAGATTTTATTACGTTGTAGGTTTACATACACATCTTTGCTAAACTGTGACCATTCTTTCCTTTATAATTAGACTAATCCTTAAATTAATCAATACCTCTGTCTAATAATATCTGTTTAGGAAACCTAATTTTTTCAGATATAGAACGGCTTGTCCATTAACATGTTGCTATTTCCTAGCCGTTTTCGTAATTTTTTGCATTGCCATTTAATGTAGTGCTTTTAAAAATATATTCGAAAAATGTATTGTATATTCAAATATATTCGAAAAATGTATTAAAATGTATTCGAAAGATTCAACTTTCACTGAACACACAGAGATAAAATTTTCTAATAACTAAGATTTTCTTTTTTTCTGTTTTTGCATTTGGGTTTTCGTGTTTAAGAATAAAGACAGTGATTCTGATTGTCAATCAAATTCTCTTTGTCAACTCCATAGGAAATGTAAATAGAAGAGTGTGGAGAATATGAATACTGATGTTAAGGTGTAAAGGGATAAAGGCAGTTTTTTCGTTTGGAGCAATTGCTGTTCTGGCATTTTATTTCTTGTTTAATAGTTTAAAAACAAATATTACACCGCAGCCAAGGGGCTGAATTGCCTAATATTTTACAATGATATACTATGTTATAATAGATACATACAGGAGTATAATACATACAGAAATATAATAAAAATTACAATTGTATCAGAAACTATAAAAAGATAAAATGTCACTAAGATCGAGTAATACTAGGTAGGCTTGATCAATCGAATATTCACACAGTGTTGTTTGCTAGTCGACCGACCATTTTGGTCGATTTCTCTGTTTCCAACAAGCCCATATACACCCCTTGTGTAAAACAAGGCTGATAGTGTCCTATCCTAACAAGCAATCAATGTTAAAGGTAGTAAGCTACCAAAGGTATCCAAAATCATATGCACAACCCTCTAGTGAACCAGAGTATAGATGCAAGTATTCTAACCAATCAGAAGCAGCCAAAATGGTCCTCAGTACTGCGTTTTCCCGCGCCGCTCAGTGTAGGTTCCATCCTCCCCGCGCAAGGAACGCTTAATTAATGCATTTGCTCTGGTCCGTGGTGCAGTTATTCTAACAACAAATCAAGGATTCCTTTCTTCTTATCCACTGAGATATCTCTGTTTATCGAATTCGCCATTCAACTTATTCGTGAAAAATTCGATTTTAATTAATCTAATCCGTAATCCGTAATTATATAAGTTCTTATAGAGAAACTTGTACACATATTTTGAAAAATGCGGGCAGACCCGTTTTTCTACGCATCTGGTACTTAGGACGTCACGCATTGTAGACTCTCCTCGTTACAGGGTGAGAGAATTGCGTGACATCCCAAAAATAAATGATAAGAGGGGGCATTCTTCAGTACCCCGTTAACCCTTTACATGCTAACATCAGTTTGCATGTTCTCCATACTGTTCTCTAAAAATTTCTTTTGCTACCGTTTTTTATGGAGAATGTGGTTAACAATCAAGAGCTTTTTGACCTCACGATCATTTTTTCAGTTTATGACTTTCATGTGTGATATTGTGGGGAGAAATTCGATGCTGATCACCCCAAGGGTTTAAAGGATTAAGGAACAAATCCCGTTATGTTTGGCCTTCAGTGATAAGTATGTTGAGATCACAACGTCAAAGGCATAAATATGTCAATGCGATAGGAGTACTGACCATAAAGAGGAAGTGCTAATCGAATCAATGGCTGGTTAATCGTACCCTTTACTGTTTTACCGGCAACTTTATTGGTTGATTTACGCATTACAACCAAGTGTGGGGCATGCATCTCTACAAAGATAGATCTAGTAGCGAGAAAAGGAAGTGCGTTTTATTCTGCACTGTGTATTTCGCTGAGTTCAGCAGGTTTCAAATATAATTCCTCAATGGTAACTGTAAGTGCCCCTATAGCACGAGTTCTGTTTCGTTGTTTGATTTAGTTAATAATCCTTTAAGTCACACTAGGTGGCTGATCACGCACTCCTAAGTGTAATTCAATGTAGACGATAAAAGGCCTTTTGATCAGTTTGGTAAGCACTTGCTCTGAGGAAAGAAATCAGTAAAGGAAAGAAAGGAAAGGTTTAATCGATTTCTACTCTCGCCAGATCCGGCAATAATGTAAGTTTGATGTATCTGATGCATTTCTTCGTTTATCTGCATGTCCCTAATTTCTCGAATCAATTTTTAGTTTCACGGTACAATACATTAATAAAGAAGGAGACGTTCCCTAAGAAGTTTGGTGCGGTACGTTGTATTTACCAGTGCATTTTGTGCGGTCCAACTAGCGGTGGACAAGCGCCGATATCGTAACCATCTTTCCTCATCTATAGTAAGCTAGTCTGTCCGTTGAGACCTGTTTCGTCTTCTTTTTGACTTCAGAGGCAGTCAGTGTGAAAGTTGAAGTCGGGTGTTGTAAACATGACGACACATGCAATCTTCTGTGAGAGAGTTTAAAGTAAAAGGTTTACAGCAAACGCATGTAATCCTTAGTGAGAGAGTTTAAAGTAAAAGGTTTACAACAAACGGCAACTGGTCAAAAGTGACCACTGATTTAACTCAGCCTTTCATAAGGTGAGCTACTAAATTAAGAGCATTAAAAAAAACGAATGCCTCTGCCTGCTGTCTACCACGAACATCATGGCTAAATCCAAAGATGAAAAGTGTCGGAGAAACTACTTTCCGACATTCTTTAATTTGTTTAGTAATTCTCTGGAGAGCTTTAGAACACAGGCAGTGAATACTTTTTAATTTCCTTTGTCAATGTTCGTTACTGGTACGGTTGTTTTCTGGATCCATTGTCCATTTGCCTGGTGAAAATATTCAACACTCAGTTCAGCTTGGTCTCTCTCATTTAATCCACCCAGTACGTACAGCTGTCCATTCAGACAAACCATATTACCATAATAACGTGGAATATTCAAGTTCGCAATGCATTGCCACGCATTTGTCGATGTAGTGTACATCTCACAAGTTTGTAATTTTCCTTTCCTGCTTATTCCTCCAGCAATGAAGATTTTTTCTTGAAAGGCCACTCCAAAAGCTCGGCTCCTTTCTTCTCGCATGTCTGCAATTTCCTCCCACTTGTTCTCCACGGTGTCGAATCTCTCAGCTTTGGCGGAGTAATCCCCGGTGTCTAATTGCCACCCACCAAACATGTATAGATGGCTGCCGGCTGCAACAACACAAGCATAATCTCTACTCTGTCCATGAGATGAGTGAAGTGTCTCCCATATATACTGCTTTACATTGTACCTCTTCGTAGCAGTTTACTTGCGAAATGTGTCAACATCAACAGCATAAATTTCTCCTTTAAGAACGGCAACCTTAGCATAACTTATAGTTAAGTTTAGCTCAGACCAAGCGTTAAAAAGAGGATCGTATCTCTCTGACTTTTGAGAGCGCGAAAAGGCAAACAAGTGATCACGGAATTTTATCATCTCAGTTGAACTGGCGTTTATGTCCCTCAGACCATCTGGTAAGCGCTTCCACAGGTCCTCTTCAGGGAGATAACAAAAAGTGTACATGCCACCACGAGCAGTAATAACACGCGCATCATATCCCTTTCTCGGTGACTTCGACAGATCATCTTCATCGACAAAAGTAGCCATCTTTGCAATAGCATCCATGACCAGCTTCACACAAGCCAAATTCTCACGTACCAGTTCGTTTGTCACGACATCCTCCAAACAGTCACGCGACAGAAAACTTAATCTAACGTGACGAAACAATTCCTCAAATGTTTCTTTTCGCTCGCTCTTATTGTGTTCAACCCACTTCAGTATGATCTTGAAGACGCTGACTTCCGCTTCCACTGCAATCTCGTCACTTAAAATCCACCTAGACACTTCCTTAGCCTGCAAACTCAGAAACTCATCCTCTTCTCCTATGGACGTGAAATTTTCGTTGATGAATTTCCTGCTGTTGTGTATTAGCTCCTCACAATCGTATTTCTCAGCGAGGTAAAAGGTCGAGATGCAATTTGATTTAGACATTTCTCTTTCTAGAAATCGTCCTGAAAGAGTTTTCAAGCTCGGTATGATAAGATAATTCCCTGCGGCGATCAGTTCCTCGGCATTCGTCTGAGTCACTTCCACAGTTCCAGTGTAGATGAATACTAAGACATCTTCCATAACAGATCCTGGAATCTCCTCAAAATGAATAATCCCTTCGCGATTCTCCTTCATGTCGCTCTGCAGAAGCTTGCAAAAGAACGGACTTACAGCGGAAAGAACATTTCTGTGAGCCTTTAGTTCTCTGTCGTCGTTCGTCACCAAAGTAATGTCGCACAAATAATCTTGTTTTCGCTGAATGTTTAGGCGCTTCAACAGTTCCACACAGAAAGTCGATTGTTCAGTGGCTGAGATGGGCTGTAAATCTTCCATCTTTAACAGAGCGTCCTTATTTCTGTCGGCAGATTCTGCTCAAACGTTGTTGATAATATGGATTACACTGGAAAATTTCGAAAGCGGAAGTATGGTTCCCACTTTCTTACATGCCCGCTCGATTCTTCTTTCCCGAGTCCACTGGGAGACTGTGAGGGGGAGTAGTAAAACAATATTAATTTCGGGGGACTGGAAGAACCTCGAGAGAAAGAGGGAAATTCAGACGCTGGATTCTCTTGGGAAAATATTCTGTTGATACGTTTGGGCAATGTAATGTTTAAATAGGAATTTGAATTGTTCAAATCCAACGTGCATGAAATTGACTAAGGACCGGGCGAGAACTGATCCCCCCTCCATTCCCCTGAAAAACCATACGATCCCCTGAAATCCTCCACGCCCCTCCCCCCTTCCCCCGCCAGGGGCGAAATTTAAAAACTGGGGTGTAACGGCATAGGGCTTATTGATTAGGATGACAGGATGACCCTATTGTTCAAATCAGCAGAAATGATATTGAGTTACAGGCATGAAGAGTCATTTTACTTTCCGGAAATTTCGCTCAAATGTCACTGAGCTGCGGAGAAGAGAAGAATAATACTTTAGCAGTTAAGGATAGAAAATCCACTGTAATTTTCAGGAAAATAAACGAAATTCGATCTGACTGAGTGACCTTAAAATACTTGCCAATTCCCATTATGCTTAAAACAAAATAAAACAAAACAATCAGTTACATTAAGGTATTGTATTCAAAAGGTATCTCCTCGCTTTTTCTCGATGACGTAAATTAACAATGTTAATCTATTCGGCTGGTGCAATGTTCGCTTCATTTCTTCAGAAAACGATTGTACCTTCAATAAATCAATACACCAATTTTTCTGCTCGAAGAAAGAAGTTCAGGCGTTTCGGTTTACTGAATTGAATTACTTTCGAGACATGATTTTCGAATTATAAATGTTGCAGTTTCGAGTTTGGGACTCCGTGCAGCTTAAGACGCTTCCTTTTCTAGACAGTGATTTTTTTTTTGTTTTTTAAAGATTTTACACTTTTAATTAACTGCTTATGTGGTTCCTGCATCATCTAACCTCAGTTTGTATCATTACTCTTAACGGGTTTTCGGTTTGGAGGAAATTCAATCCTAGTTTTGAGGAAAATATGCATGCTCATTATTCTACTTCCTGATAAGCTCCTTAATCCTTTAGCCCCTAAGAGTGACCAGCATCTAAATTCTCCTTACAATATCACCCCTGAATCACGCATCAAGGTCAGGAGAATAAAGGAAATGATCATTAACTGAGGAAGCTCTTGATAGTAAAACAAATTCTCCCAGTTAACACCCTATAAAATGTATAGAAAACAGTATGGAGAATATGCATACTGATGTTAGGGTGTAAAGGGTTAATGAGTGAGCCCATTAACACAGTGACAAGTCGCTTTTGACTGTAAAGGTGTCTAACAGGAATCAAGTTTAATGATGTAGCAGTCCAGTGCTTGCCACATGCCTGTAGATGCCATGTTGCGATACGGAGTTTAACTATCAGATTAACAACCAAAAGCAGCCATCGCAGTATGACCTATGATTTTTCTCGGCCCCTCCTCGAGTTAATCCTTAGGCCAGTCAAATAAAATTCGTCGTGTATCATACACGATGAACTTTGTTTGCTCACCCATCGTCGGGAACATTATATTTAAGCTCTTTTATTTCGAGGCTGTAGTGCGTTTGAGGGACTACTCCCCAAGAACCTCAGAACACAGCCAAACAACAGGTATGAGGTGACTGGTGCCATTGTTGTAAGGATCCATGTGTCCTTAGCTGTGTCAAAACATTCAACACTTAGTTTGGTTTGGCCCCTTAAACTTTCATTTCTTCCAGCCAGTATGTACAGCTTTTCTTTCAGACAAACCATACTTCCGTAATGTTGTGGAATATTCAAGCTTACAACAAGTTGGCATTCGTTTGTTGATGTATTGTACATCTCGCCAGTTTTTAATATTTCCTCATTGCGTAATCCTCTAGTGACGAGGATTTCCTCTTGAGAAGCCGCTGCAAAAGCGTCGAGTCGTACTTCGAGCATGTCTACAAATTCCTCCCAATTGTTTTCAAGTGTCAAATCTCTTAAACCCTCGTGGCGGATTGCATTTTGTTTGGATCCTATCCACCAAACATATACAGATGGATGCCAGCTGCAGCAATATGAACATTCACTCTACACACTCCATCAGATGAGTGAAGTACCTCCCATGCTTACGACTTCGCATTCCCTTAGGTAAGCTAATATAAAAATTCAATGAAAGACAAATGCTTATGCCTGCTCTACGCCATTGTCTAAATATTAGGCTCTCTGATTCCACAGCTGTTAAATTTCTAGGAGACTACTCCCCGATTGCGACAATCTTTGATTAATCTAGTAGTTCTCTGGATAGCTTAAGAATAGTGCCAGTGAATGCTTATTTATTTCTTGGGTCGATGATTGCCACTGCGATGGTTGTTTTGTGGATAAATTGGTCCTTTGCAGTGTCAAAACATTCAACACTCAATTCAGTTTGGTTCCTCTCATTTGATCCACCCAGTACGTACAGCTTTCCACTCAAACCATACTACCACAAGAACGTGGAACACTGAAGTTCACAACATATTGCCACTCATTTGTCGACGTAGTGTACGTCTCATAAGTTTGTACGTCCCCTGTCCAGTTTGTTCCTCCAGCAAGGAAGATTTTTCCTCGAGAAGCCACTCCAAAAGCTTGGCTTCTTTCTTCTAGCATGTCTGCGATTTCCTCCCATTTGTTCTCCATGGTATCGAATCTCTCATCTTTTGCGGAGTAATCCTATGTGACTTGATTTCTCCCACCCAACATGTACAGACGGCTGCCGGCTGCAACAGCACAAGCAATCTTTCTGCACTGTCCATGAGATGTGTGAAGTGTCTCCCATGCATACTTCTCTACATTGTACCTCTTCATAGCAGTTTTTCAGAGGTCACCATCAACAGCATAAATCTCTTTTTCAACAACGACTACCTTTGCAGAATCATTGCTTAAGTTCAGCTCGGACCAAGCGTTAAAAACTGGATCGTATCTCTCTGATTCGTGACAAACGGAGAAGGTGAACAACTGACAACGGAGTAATCATTTGAGTTGTACTGGCGTTTATGTCCTTCAGACCATCTGGTAAGCGCATCCACAGGTCCTCTTCAGGGAGATAAGAAAAAGTGTACTTGCCACCACGAGCAACAATAACACATGTATCATATCCCTTTCTCGGTGACTTTGGGAGATGATCTTCATCGAAAAAAGTAGCCATCTTTATAGTAGCATCTAGCGTTAGCCGTAGGCAAAGAGCACTGTCACGAACAAGTTCGTTTGTCAAGACATCCTCCAGACAGTCACGTGATAGAAAATACAGTCGAACGTGACTAAACATGAACTCTTCAAATGCTGCTTTTCGCTCGTTCTTCCTAAAGTTTACCCAGTCTAATATGATTGTTAAAACATCAGTTTCCTCTTCAACTCCCGGTT